GTGTGCAAGCACAACCCATTTGCTCCTTGGAAAAAGATCTGGGATTAACTTTTGGATCCCAGATGAGGCATTACATCTATTACAGACAGAGCAACCCAAAACATTTCAGGCAACGTGGTGTGTATCTAGTCTAGATCAGTGGGTATGCGAAGAATTTTTTTTATTATAAATTTATGTCATAAGGCATGTTTTAATTAATTTTGACTTTTCTGACAGAGCTGAAAGTACTGTTATTCCAAAATGTTTCTTCTGAGAATAGTGTCACATTTGGATGGCATTCTATCTTATTAGCCATGAAAGCAATAGGAAAGGATTGTGAGGAAGTAAGTAGCAGGATCATCATTTCATCATCAAACTTTAAATTGCCACATTTAAAAGCAAACAACAAAATACCCTACGTGTATAGAATAAAAGAAAAAGGTAATTGGCCACCAGGTGTCAGTAGTTGTTCTTTTATTGTAATGGAACAATTAATATAAAGACTGTGTCGGTAATGGTTGAGCCAAGGAAGTCACAAAATTAAATGGATTTTTTGTTGTTGTTGTTGTTGTTGTTCAGACCAGGAATTAAAAAATGATCAGCATAATTTGTCTTCCTGTCTGTTTAGAGCACAATAACAAAGAATATACGGTGCATAAAATGGTCTTTTTCCTCAATTTCCTATTAAATCATTGCATCTGTGACCAACCCATGCAAAAAATGACTGGAACCTGGTTGGTCTTATTTGCCATTGCCTGATCACCTCTAATCTGCTCTGCCTATCTAGTACTATAAAGTAGCTTCTCTAAAATGGGATTGAAGGTAAACTCCCAGGGAAATGGTGGATTCACTATCCTTGAAGGTATTTAAAAGACTTGTAGATGTTGCACTTAGGGACACGGTTTAGTGGTGATCTCAGCAGTGTTGCATTCATGGTTGGTCTCCATCTTAAAGTTCTTTTCCAACTTAAATGATGCTACCATTCTATGAAAGATGCATCCACAACAAAGTGGATGGGCAACCCCTACAACCTAGCTCCCTGATTTAGATAGGGATTTCAATTTTCCTTAGAAAGGCTTGGATGTTTTGCTGGGAGCATGCCTGTACCAACACAACAAAATACAAGCCAGATCATTCTCCCTGATCTGTGGTCAGTGGATCTGCACACCAGGTCTGTTTTATGTCTGCCAAGCAGAACTGCTTGGGGAGGTTTGTCACCATTAAGATGTTTGTCACAGAGGGTCAGCACGTAGGGATTCTTGAACACTTGTCCAGGTGATCAGGCCTTATGTTTTTAATCAAAACCATTTTCTTCCTAAACATCATTTGCACTGGTTGGTGTCCTGGGTTTGCATTAGGGAAATAATGAAAGTATATAGAAAATTGCGATATTTAATCCAGCTAGCTTTATGAACAAATAGCCTGGTAGACATGCCTGTACCTAAATGGTCTTGTGTAGAAAGTGGAAGAAAAGACACTGACTATCTTCCTAAAGTCATTCTAAGTCATATTATAAAAAAATGCTGCACAAGACCTAGGTATTTTTATTAGCATTATTATTTGAAATTATGCAGCAGTAACAGGAAGGCAAGATCATCAACGACAGCTGAGCAGAGCCTTAGTTAGGAAATGGTGTGATGATCTAGGGTGACATTTTCATTGCTTTATAAGCTCATTTATTACCTATGTTATTTGTTGTGAGAACCAAAACAAAGTGGGAAAGGAGTTTGCAGCAATCAAACTTAAACACATAGGATGTGTGTGAACTTCATGAATTTTTAGGAAAGCTGCTACAAGAAGGAGCTTAGAACCTCCAAACTGTTGAGACTCTGAGAAAGGGACCAACAGGAAACAGTCTGCAGGCAACCTATGAGTACGTGAGAATACCAGTCTCTGCATATTCATTTTCATGTAAGGCTGGGCACCGAAGCTTTGACAGACAGAGTCTCCTTTCTCAGACTGCAGGCTAGACTCCTCCAAGGTGATGTGTCCCAACCACTGGGAGCTTTGTCCTGGCAAGAGGTTGTCTCTGTCGAGGTTCAACAATTCCTTTCACAGAGATTTGGAAATGTAGCTCCTTCTTTATCCAGAGTACTAAATAGATTTTTGTAAAATGTTTTGAAGTGTGACTGTGCCAGACCCTTGTGTCTGACAGTAATGTTTGTTTAAGCAAGATATCTGAGTTTGTAACAACGGAATTATATATTTTTCAGGACAATTAAACAATGTTTCTGTATGAGATGAAGGTCAGAAGATTAATGTGGCTTTATCTACAATGCATTTTTAAAAACTAATTAAGAATCGTACAGTTCGCTCTGTACTAAAGACTGAGAACATTTAACATTAGATGACTCTTGCTCCTCTGCAGCGGCCAAAAGAGAGAGAGAGAGGAATGGAGGAGGAGAGTTAGAGAGGAATGGATGAAGAGAGTTACAGATGAAAGTGAGCTAGCATGCAAATAAACAAATACATCATGGGGATGCAGTTAATGGAGAGCCATAAAAAGCCCCATTCTTGTAACATCAGACATAAAATTTTCTCTTGGGTAATAGGGATAATCTAAAATATTAATCAGCAAAAATAGTCTGTATTTGCAATCATAAGCATTTCTTGTTAAAGGAATAGAGATGAAGAGAAATAAAGTGCTGCTTTCAGAGCATTATTTTGAAGACTAATTTATCACCTCATGCTTTTGGACCATCTCCCTCTCTCTCTCTTTTGTGTTTGACAGTCTATATACACAACCATTCTTCCATGGGGAAAACCTGGTTAATAGACCTCCTGTCAGAGGTGAGTCTTCTGGGAGGAGGTATGTGAGGGTGAGGAGCAGAAGTGGGACTGGAGTGCCAGTCAGCCAGCTTGTGGCAGAACGAGCTGCCTGCTGGCATGGTGATGGGTGCTGGTGGCAGTGAGGAGACACCATGGTGCGTGTGCACATCGGTGTCAGGGATGCCGAAGTTTAGAGGAAGGAAAATGAGACAGAAATCAGAGGCATCCAGAGGTAATGGGAGGATTAAAAATACAGTGGCCTAGCCTTTTAACGGGAAAAGGTAAGAAAATTGGAAGCTGTTCCTAAAATCTTGCTTTTGGATGCTTATCTACACTGCTGATTTAAGCTCTCTGAGGTTCATTTGCTCTGTCTGGCCAAAGCATATAAATGCTATCAGACATTAAGGAGCCTCATTTCAAAACTGGGCTATGCACTGCTATTCTGTTGATCAAATGTGGCAATTATTTCAGGCTTAAAACCTTTTAGAGATAACAATAGATGCTGCCAATCAAAGCTAGAAGGGATAAATGCATTCAAAGATGAAGCTGAATGAGGAATAACAGCAACATGTGTAGCTAGAATATATTATGGATTACCATCCTCTCACACAAAGGCTAGTAAACTCTTCAAAATGCAGCAACCTACAGAGCTAATAAAAGGGACAGAAATGTGCGGATGTCTCAGTTTGTCTAATTTGTGTTTTTCTAGCATTGGTAGGATGACTCATTGGATTTAGCAACAGCTTGTGAAGATGAACATATTAATAACTTTATGTTGCAGCTCTGCCATAAAATATAATCTTTTACAATTCTATATTCTCAAGTGAAATACAAGCTTAGTACCAGAACAAAATTAGGAAAGATATTTGAGTTGTCAGTATATTTTCCTTTTATATCTGTGTTTGTGCATTTAAATATGCAACTTAACTTGGAAAAGAGTATTTCCTTTCAACACCATGCCTTTCCCAGTGTGCCACTCCCTGCTATAAAAGACTGAAGCACGCTTAAATATGATGCTGTCAGGACAGTACTCCAAGGTATTCCATGTCATTCTCTGTATTTTTATATTGCACCAAACATAAATTAACATTTTCTTACCAGCCATAAATGCTTGAATAGGAAAGTTCATGTAGACTACGTAGGATTTGATGACAAAGAAGCCAGTTGCATATTGAAATTTGCATCTCTAATCCATGGTGTTAGTAAATAATGGGACATATATTCATTCAGCTTTTGACAAAATTCAGCAGATTTTAATAAATAGATAACAAAGCACAAGGCTTGTCTTGAGGACATAGAAACTATAGTTCTGAATCTTTCAATCTTATTTTAAATCTCTCCCCATGGTTTTAGGCATTACTCTAGTCTACTGAAAGGTTCATCTGAGTAATTGACAGCTTGCAGACAAGATAGCAAGTAGGACCAGTGCTTCTAGGCATTGAGATCATGACCAAACCACTAGACTGACCATCTTGTTTCTCCTTGATTTTAATGAGACCTCATTTTAATGAAACAGTTTCACAGGCTGTGTCACTTACTGGAGATACGTTTGTGGTTTTTGCATTAAACATACTTGCAAATGTACTGAAATAACAGGACAGAAAAGTTTCAACAATTTTAGTGCAAAGAAGACCCCAAACTTAACTTCTAATATATTTGAAAAAAATATTTTTTTATGCTAAATAGTATGAAATACAACTGATTAGGCTCAGGACATTTAATAACTTTATTTTAAAATTAAAAAAAAATACTTTCTGGGCATGGGCAAAGCCTCAGACAGATAACTGGTTTATACCACACTAAGTGGTTTGGTATGTTGATATTACCATTACTACTTAAAATGAGCTGAATTTGTGAAATAATTAATCAAAAAAATCTATGCGCTCATTCAGGCCTCTCATGCCATACACCCTTTGAAACTACTTATGTTCCTGATTGATTTAGCATATAAGATAAAACAGTGTTTCTTATGTGTTTGCAAAAATCCCAAGATCACAGAATTGAAAATTACATGTATTATATATACACAAATGCATATATGCATATAATATGCATAAAACACTAAAAATGTTACACACACGCGCACACACACACACACGTATATATAAATATGCTTTGATATTTATCTCCAGCTTAGATTCTTAAATAATATAAATTACATATGCCCCTATCTCAAATACTTAAAACCTGAAAGTGCTCACACTAAATAGTCAGATAGCTATTGTAGAGAAAGATCGAATTCAATTTCTTACCTGCTTTTTTACTTTCAGGGACATCTGTCTTCTCATGAGCTTTCTCTTTTTTTCCTTCTTTTTCTAAGATTTAATTAAAGAAAGTAATTTGATATGCTAGAATTCTGAACGATGCACTCAAATATGCAGTCAGCCAAATCCTAGTGGGCATACGCTGAAAAAAAATAGTGACTTATTTGGGAGTTTAATTCAGATTATTCTCTTATAGCACTTGCACCCAACTAGCCCCAGAGCAATAACTGAAAATGGAAATTAATCATTATGCATCAACTCTGGATGATTTGAACCCTTAATAATTCATCAAAAGCTCTGAAAAAATCAGTGAGTGAATATGCTATCTTTAAGCTTAAGCTTGAGTAGCAATGAGGTCATTAAAAATTAATGAATGACATAAATATTTTCCCATGAAAGCAAGACCTTAGTGGATTTTGGGTGCTTCCTGGGAAGGAATGGTCCAAATTCTTATTCAGATGGATATCAAGGCTTTGCAGTTTGGTCACTGCAAGTTTTGGTTGTAATTCTATAAAATAAATAAATAAATACTGCTACTTCACATTCAGAAAGTAATGTGCCATAGACAGAGCGTCTCTCTCATAAGTTTTGTGTATGGCAGTATCACTATGTCCTGCTATATCTAGGGACTTCATAATTTTTTTTTTTTAAAGCCCATAGATGGGCAACAAATGGAACTTTTTATTTGTCAGGAAAAGAATTTGGAAAATATTGGACACAGACCACATCAGACATCAGATTAGGCTTAACATAAAAAAGAAAAAGGCCTTTGAGCCAAGAGTGGAAATGAAAACTGAATGAAGCCAGAAAGAAATATTTCCAAACCATACCTTTCTTCTTAGTTTCAGTCGTAGCCCTCTTTACGTCAGTCTTTTTCTTTTCATCTTTTCTCTCTAAAAGAGGAAAGAGAAGTTCAGACGACTAATTTTACATAGATATAAATATGTGCACACAAACACACATAAAATACACAAATGCACAAATACAACTTGAAACTCAGAGAGTGAATGGGGTGCTAAGGATAGAACTGAAACCAGTATGTACACCAGATAATTACTTAAGTAATTACTAATTCAAACAATTATGCCCATTAACCTGATGTAACTAAAAGTTAGTGTGGTGATTCAGTAACTGTTCACCTGTTCTGCTTTTTTTATAAAATCTGATTGCCAGCAAAACTACCACAAAAGCAGTACCTGCGATTAAGTGCATAATGCCATGAAAAGCCTGCATATATATGTTTTACAGCACTTTTAAGGAATTGAAACTTTGAAACTGTAATTACAGCACTTCTGTTATTCTTGGAGAACTGCAGTTAAAGCATCATCTGTAAAAGAACATGACTTGTTCTTTTAAAAGCATCTGCCTCTATTTTGTCAATTGATTGGATAACAGTAGAAATAACGATAATGTTTTTGCTTTTTTTACAAAAAGCTACAACAATTTAATTACTTATTCCATGAATGTTATTAGCTAGAACATTGAGAGTTCAGTAGAGAAAATGAAGAAGCTATAATTCTTATTTTTCCTTTGGGAAATGAGTCCCCATTTTGATGGAAAGAATACATGAGTACAAGAAAAGTTACTCTGTTTTTTTAACTGCTCATCCACAAAAATCCACATTTGTTACCTTCTGTTTGTGCTGCATAGCTTTGGGTGTTGATGTAGTTAGTGGAAATATAGTTTTCTCTTTGTGATGTTTTGCTGTTATGAATGTGGATAAGAAACCAGGTTTTACTACCATGCAAAATGGCACAAACATAGAGCTACAAGCCTTTAAGCAAAGAGTCTTTTCTTTCCTTTAAAAATGAAGGTATAGGAATATTTTCTGAAACCAGCAGATACAAGAGGCAAATATGATATTATCCTGTGCATAAATTAACATGAAGATAAAGAAAAAATGAAGACACTTACTTTTTACTCCTCTAGCTACCACAATAGACTTTTCTTCTGCTTGAAAACATATAAACAGGGAACAAAAACAAAGATTAATTGAAATACTGCACAGCATGCTTCCTAAACCAAACCCAAATATATGTACATTTGACAGAAAAATTGATATTTTCATACAGTACATAAATTCTGCAGTCTGGTCATGATTGTTTCATAAGTAATTATTTTGCTTTAGGTGGGGCAATGTATTTATTTACCAATATTCAGGGTCTCCTCAAACCATATTTCTGCTGATTTTCTGACAATCGTGCTCAATGTTAAGCTTCATCTTGACATTTTCTAGTTCTTGTTTTAAACAGATTTGTTTAATGTGTTTCCCTTGATACTGTCTTGACAAAATGAACCAGAAAATCCTTGCATGTATTTTACAGAATGTTTCTCCCAGTGTTCTGTGTGCTTAATTCTCCCTGTTGAAATCCTGGAAGTACTGGCCTTGAAGATACAAATTGCTTTGTGTCATGAGCATGTTTTCTGATATTGAGGTTTCCTAAGAATGTATAGAGCACCAGAGTAATGTTCATGCTCCACAAACTTGTTTGGAGCTTAATTTTCTTGTAAATGTTAATATTCTTGTTATTATCTATCTCTAGGATTCCTAGGAGTCTCTCTGACACGTTGTTCCAAAGGCTCATGCTAGGGACTGTGGCTGCCTTCTCAAAAGGGGAGAGTTCACCCTCAGATTACACACCAGTTGTTACACAGCTTTACTTTTCTGTGCCACCTATGAATCTTCAGTGTTTAGTTTCCACATGCAACGTAGAACATTTAACTGTTTAACTTTTGCTTACTCTGCCTGACTTGACCGAAACTGTTAAACATACTAAGTCTATCAGTTACTGTCAGGAAGAAGCTTCCTTCTAACTGTCTTCCTTCCACTAACCTTCTCTCCTAGTAACTAGAGACTGAAGTGCTGCTGGTACTTCTGTGATTTATATTGTTTTTTCTCAGTACCTCAGTTTTGGTGGAGCAGTTATAGCTCCATGCTTCCAGATTTTTCTTCCTTATGCTTCTGGTGCTAGGTGATACACAGCCATTATTCTTAAGACAAGAGCCTTACAAACAAGATTCCCTTTAGCCAGAGAACATTTTTCCTCTTGAATCTATAGCATTTTGCATGCTTCTGTGGCCCAGCTAAGATACACAGCATCTACTCCAAGTTTCATAGCAAGTCTCAGAGCCGTATGTGTCTTGAGAGCCATGAGCTGAGAATGACATGACATGAACATGACATGGAGCTCTGAGAAATGGAGCTTTATATTGATGAGGTACAAGAAGTAGCAGAATTTTTTACAGCAAATAACCTAAAGCACAAGGAGACTACATCCCTGGCTGCAGAGTTTTTATTGCCAAGTCATTACACCAATTAATTCTTCTTCCATCAAGCTCTCAAGCTGCAATACTCAGAGTGCTCAGGGAGCCTGGAGACATTTATATTAGTTATGAATTTTTTTGAGGACAATTACATGGATTACATACAGGTATTAAAAGTAACCCATGAGCACCGCCCAATGCAAGATATGCACTCTTGGTAAAGTCTTAGAAAAACAGTCAAAGGGTTTCCAATCACATCTTGGCTGCCCCATTGATGTCCCTCATAGCTACTACTGACAAAAGTATGGGTAAATTAGAACAATGAACTTGGTAAATAGATACAATGAAAGTGTTATTTCTGATTTCAGGACGCAATCCCGGTTCTTGAATAAATTTATTTCCTTTCAATCCGAGTAGCTCACAATTGTTGCATTTTAAGCGTATATTTAACACCAGCAAAATTGTAATTTCTGAAGCAGTAAATTCAGTGGGTATTCTACAGATTTGTAGACAGCTAAATTAAGAGGCAGAACAAATAATTACATAGGAACTTATGCAGGTCTTTTGCACTGTAAAATATGAACCCCATTCTTTTACTGAAAGTACGTGGGGTTTTTTAGTTAAGAACAGTAAAAGGACTACAAATATTCATGGATCAGTTGCTTAAAGAGGGATCAGTGGCTTACACAAGGAAACACAAGGTGGTTTTGATGATTCAGGATTGACTGTATTAGGCAATTAAAGTGCAATTGACTACTGATAAAATACCTTTATTTTTACTGGGTTTTGATAATATAGTTAGTTATGCTTTTTTCACCAGGAGTGCTAATTGTGAACTACATTTTATGTACAAAGTGTAGGATGTATGTGTACAAAACAAAACCTCACCTTCAGAAGTCTGCAATGACCTTATAAGAATGAAATAGGCATATATGCAGATGGCAGAGTATGAGGTGACAGTCAATGAGACAAGCAATGGACTTTGCATTTAGTCATTTTTTCTGTAGGCTCTGTGCAGAAGTGGAACTTTACATAGTACAAGGAGCAATCCAGTGAGCATGAGAAGTGTGTGAATTATAGTGATGTACTACTGAATGGGAATTCAACTAATTTCTTTTTTTTTTTTTCTGGGAGTGAAAAAAAAAGCATAGAATAGTTTTATTGGAAAATGACTGGAGTAAGGAGAACAGCCCTAAAGAAAGAATCTCCTGAGATGTAATTATTTATTTCTGAATAAGGGGTGAGAGACTGATAACACCAGTGGAAAACCAAGTAAAACTCAACAGAGACCAAGAAAGAAGTGCTTCAATCTGAATTGCCTGTATCATCCTTGACAATGTCTTTATGTTATGTTCATGGGACGTCAACTAATTCTTGGACAAGAGGGGGAGGGAAGATAACAGAAACATGCTAGTAACGCAGCACTTGAAAACAGGCCTGGTAAAACCAGCGTGCTACTGTGCCAGTGCTGAGTGGAATCTAAATTTAGGGATGCATGTGATTTCCTGGGCATAGTGTCATGGGAATGCTGCCTGAGAACTGGAAGAGGAAGGTTCTCTAAGAGTTTCTTTTCCATGTTGTTCCAGATGCTCCATGTGCTTATGGAAACACTGACTCTGGAAGAAACTGTCAGCTCATACTATCCCCTCTGAGAAACTGAGGTAAGAAGGGCAGCAAAATAAAGCTACCTGTACCTTCTTATGGAGAGGCATGATTATAACAAACACTAGCTAGTAGGACTGAATGACAGAAGTTAGAAGATGTTTTGTTTCAGATAAGCTTTCTAAAGTTCAGAGACTTAAAAGGCTTATCTGCATTTATCTAAAACCCTTTGAAAGGAAATCTCAGGAGAATAGTTCTTGTGAGAGACTTTGGATATTGTCTGGCTTTGTGAAATACTACAAGAGCTTTTCTTGCCTACTGATTCTGGTCCTGGCAGAAATGGAGTGGCAGAGATATGCATATACTCACTCACATACAAAACAGAACAAAACAAACATTTTCTTGAGGAACTATAATTCAGACTGAATACAATAACTTCATTTCAGATAAAACTTAATTTCATTTTTCTGCAAGCATCTCTGTACACCCGAAGCTGTCACTGGAATAATTTTAAAAGACCGTAAAAAAAAATCTGTATTTTTAAAATTGTATTTCCTTATTAATTTTTAAGAGATTATGGTTGCTCTTCGTTGTGAGGATTGAAATTATGACTTTGCATGTTGCTTAGGGTGGAGACTGACGATGACTGGACAGTTGAACTTTTGATTCTAAATGATTTCACACACATTCAAACAGTAAGGCGGCTTTAGGTTTACAAACATTTTTAAGGAAATAACCAAACCAACCAACCAACCAAAAAAACTGCAAAAAACCCAAAGAAATAATTTCTGCTTAATTTGGAATGCCATGGAAACTCATACTTTTAAAATTAAATCTAAATTTCAAGTAAAAATTTACCTCATCTGTCTCTTTGAAAAACAGAAATCCTTTCTGGGTAAGAATGTCCTTCTTGGTCCAGTTATTTTCTCTATGAGAAAAAAATCCTGCCTTACCTCAGACAAACTACTGAAAAGTCAAGAATGATCAAAGTAACCTAAATGGTATACATCTAAAGTTCTTAGAATTGCTTCTTTTCACAAACACAGATACACACACATGCACACACACATTCTCAAATACTCCCTGTAGCTCACATGTGAATGCTTAGGCAAAAATAAGTGCACTTTCGAAAAACTCTGTTTAAACCACACCATTTCAGCAGAGTAATTCAATACAATTTGTTCTCATACTGAGCAAGTGAAAGACTAATGTGGCACACAGGTGATTGGAAGTATAGGCCACCCTGAAGACCTAGGCAATCTCTCCAGACTGATTTTACTCTTTGAAACTGCTTCACTGTTTTCAAATCCTGCTCTGAAACACTATTTGGTAGCTTTGAAGATTGCTTATGGAGGTATTATTGAGGTCTGCAGAAAGTATGTATTAGCAATTTTGTGTTTGAAATTCCGAATGCTTATATGTGACCCACATAAGTGTTCCTTATTTCTTCCCATAGTGATTATAGGCTCCCTCTTCATGACTGTTAAGCACCAAAACTGTTTGTTAATAGCATAGGGCCATAGTTGCCCTCACTAAACAACATAGTAGGGATCAAAGGAGTACCAATACCAGCATAGTGAAGCTGGAATATGCATGCCAAGGGAAAAAAAAAGATTGCATACCAACTTCCATGACAAGAAAAGCAATAGAAAATCCATTGGACAATAGACAATGGCAAATATGATTATGACAAAGAAGTAAATTCCCAGGGGAACCCTGACTTCTCATGGTACATCCTTCACTAGCAAGAGCCAAACCAACACATCTTAGACAGCAGGGTTAGCTTTCCTCTGTGACTGACATTCGTACTAAGCAACACAAACTGACCGTAGCAACAATTGTGTTACCAGTGCCGGGAAGGGTTTGGAGGGTGCTTTTGATGGGCGTGCTTTTGAGCAAGAATGTCTGAGTTTTAGAAAAATGGGATGAGTAGGCTATGCAGGACATCTTCTGCAAGGATATCCTTTTTCTTTCCAAAGAAACATGGAATGTCTACTTTTGAAAGCCCAGAAAATCTTAATGTAAGTCACTATTTCCCATTTGCAGGTGCAACATATGAAAAAGATTATTGCTTTTCTGTAACATTTAGATCAATTTAAAAAGATTAAAGTAATATTTAGAGTTGTTTGGTTTTGTTTTATTGAGTAGATTTTGGTGAATATTTATTTTTAAATGCATAATATAATGTTGGAAAGTAGATGATTATTAATAATAATGAGAAGTAATGACATAGTAATATGTCTAATCAAAATATTAATATCTTAATAAATAATTTTTTCCCAATGTCTAATTTTTTTCTGTCTTATACTAGAATAGAAGTAGTACAGAAGAGCCTTGTGTCATTAAATAAAATGTCAAGGGCTTTCTGAAACAGTGAAGATTTAGGCTTTTTTCATCATAGCTAAATCATTAGAGTTTACTGCCTAAATGACTAATATGAATAAAGAAATAACTCACTTTGAAACCTTTTGCAGTTCACTTCAAGGGTTTTGCTGTATTCAGTACAGACTCATGGAGAAGTAGGGCCCATATTTCTCAAGCACCCCTTGTTTTTATGTTGTAGATACAGCACCCTGTTTAAGCTACCTAAACTGTTTCTTCAAATAAACTAGATTAAAGCTTAGCCCATAATACTGTGATATTTCTGACAAAAAAAAATTTCTTATTTATTTTTATTCTCCCCTGAATTTAAATTTTTCAGAAAATGCATTTTCATTTGCAAATCATGTCAGTGTTAGTAAAAATGTTCTAAATTTGGATAAAACATCAAAATTCTGCACTTTAGAAAGTTTTCCTCTGTATCTTGAATCACTGTCTTTAGAAGTTTCTTCTTTATGGGTCATTGATTTTAACAAAAGTTTTTTTCTAGAAAAGTCTGTGTATGGAAGAGGAGAACGTCATTGACAGACTGTACAGAGTCAGAATTATTTGTATAAGATTTTTACATTTCTATACATCAAGGGATCTTTTTCAAAATTTGCATTGGCTCTAGTAATTTAGATACTCTTGGCAATATCCCCTATTGTTATATTCATGAACGGAGGAATAGACTAGAAATTTTTAAAATTCATAGAATCATAGAATAGTTAGGGTTGGAAAGAACCTTAAGATCATCTAGTTCCAACCCCCCTGCCATGGGCAGGGACGCCTTCCGCTAAATCGTATCACCCAAGGCCTCGTCCAAGCAACAAAGATGCAGATTTCTATTTCAATGCCAGTTTAGCCTCCACAGGAGTTTTGGAGGAAGTTAAACATATTTCATAACAACTCATTTTATGCATTCTGCAAAATCTTTAATTAGATAATCCAAACAGTGATCTAGAAAAAATACTTTTTTTTTTCAGAGCCTCTGAAACCATTATAGAAATTTTAAATTTTTCTTTTTGACCTCATTTAACACCACAAATACCAGCAAGATGGCAAAGAACAGCCAGTATATGTCAGGCAAAGGAAAGAAAAATTTCAGAGCCCATCACCATTTATCAATAGATCAGAATGTTTATGTTGATGACTATTCCAGGATAAGTGCTCTCTCACTCAAACATACCAGCTCAGATTTCTAGGACAATACAACCTGGAAAATGATACTCAGATAAGATGCTGTTCCAAGGTGGGTTTTTTTGTTGGTTTTTTTTTGTGGGTTTTTTTTTTTTTTGATATAATGCTCTTATAAAAGTGGGACAAAGCATATTGTCTGAGATCATATGTGATATGCATTAAGATGGCTATGACTAAGAGAAGCATTTTGATACAGGCTTTCCGCAAAGTTATTATGATCTTGTGAGAAACAAAGACATGCTACTCTAGAACAATTAACATGAATCCTTACCAATAACTAATAAGCCCTGAGCTTAATTTCAACATTTTTTCTCTCACTGCAGTCTTCTTGAGAGATTACACTGCCATGTCAGAGAGCATAACACGGGAGGACTATCAGAAGGGAAAGTCCTTCTCGGGTGAATGGGGAAATGGAGGAAGCTAAAAGGTATGTGAGCTGAGCAAAAAAGTTAAGACCTGAGAGAGATATTCACAGAGAATCAGTGTACACTGCAGAGCAGTTTTAGGTTGCTAGTGATAACAAAACACAAGAAAGCTAGAGTTAGAAGAGGTGATGAAGACTACGGTCAAGAAAAGAAGCATATTAAAGTCAAAGTTCAGATAGCCATGGACAGCAGATCTGTTCAAATCGCAGTCAGCACCAGTGTCCTCCCTAAACGGCTGCATCAGAGTGTCAGCCAAGATGAGTGCCTCTTCCAAGTCCTTGTGAAAGTTCCAGAAAAAGATAAGATAAAGAATATAAAATTAGTTATTTTACTTCATGGTTTGACAAACAAGGTTTCCAAATTGGAACACAAGTAAAAGCTATGTATCAATGTCTTTCTCTTCACAAATTCAGTTTCCCTCTTTATTTGTTGTTACAGGATCTTTTGTTTTGTTTTGTTATTTTCTTCTGTTGGTGGCCTGAAACTTCAAACTCTTGATTAAATTTTGAGTGGAATATCAGAAGACAGCAGTGCTTTTTGGAAAGAGCAAAACCACCATGAAATAAGAGAGCAATGATCTGTTCTTTTCCCTTCTTACCAGATGAGTACAAAGAATTTTGTTTTCAAAAATATATGAAAGATCAATTCACATGCACACATTTCAATGTAATTTATTGCATACTACTAGAATATAGTGCACAAATTGGCATTTTTTTTACACAATCACCCCTTTTCCAGAAGATTTACTGTGGAATTAAAGGAAGACAAAATTGTAATGACAAGACGAGAAAAGCTGAGATTTAATAAATCAATATGCTGTTTTCCTAAGACCTCATAAATGCAGCAGAGCATAATTTCTACTGGGCATCATATACTATCCAGGAAAAGCTTTCTATTTGAAAGCATAAAATAATTTAGAAATGTTAGAAGCATCTATCACACATATTGCCAGTATTTTCACCTTATCAAAAATCAAGGATGGTCCAAGATTACGTAAGAAAGCAGTGGCAAAATAGGGCTATAGGGAAAACATCTCAAACCAGAAAGAGAATAGACCTTTTTTAGTCTTTACCAGCTACATGTTTTCATATCTAGTGTCAGAATATCAGTGAGTTGGAAAGACTAGTGTCTAAATAGACTGGTATAATGAATTTTCTGTGTGACAACCGTTCTGTTTTTTCTTACGGTTTTAGCTTTTTTGCGGAGCTGGTTGCTTCTGTCAAGCACTGGGCTAGTCCTTTCAATGTTCTATAAAGTACATTTCTCAATTAACAAGCGCTTGTAATTGTTCCATATTATGAGAAATTATACTACCTTCAACTATATAATAAGAATCTTTTCTTTCAATCTGTCTTTTCAACTGTTCAGTGATATTTAGTCGTGTAACAGTGATATAGGTATGTAAGCATTAGAAAGTCACAGAAAGGTGTTTCTTCAGCTATTTCAGAGATTTAAATTTCCCTGCCTAGTACTCTTTTTCTGTTCTGATGTTGTGCCAAGTATTCCCACAAATTACTAAATTATTTTTCCCACGGGTGAGATAAAGCTTCACAGTTTAGGGTTCCTGAAGGATATTTTCTCATTTGTGGTAACCACAGAATAACACACTATAACAGCTTTTCACAGCAGCATTTTTATAAGTAATTCTTCATCAGTTTCTCCAAACCACTTGCATGAACAATATTGTGTATTATTGTATCCTAGTGACTGGCCTTGAGCCTTAAAGTGAATTAAGTTGGATGATTCTGAGCAGATAATCTGCCCCCTCAATTTGTTTGCCAAATAGGTGTCTAATTTACATTCACAATTACCTCAATTGCATGCACAAATGAGCTAATGAAACACACAAATGTGTAACTGGTCATAAATAGTAATTTCCATGTGCGATTGCAGTAATTGCATGCTGTTCATAATTTTGAAAATCAAGAACTTAATGTTAATTTGACGGTAATTCATGTTGTATAACAGTTATATTTAAAGATTACGTTTATCACTCAACAAATGCAGCAGTCTTCTTCTGTTATGTCTCTTGTCCATTATGGTTAATTGGTGGATAACAGTGTTTAACATTGCAGGGACTTCTTCCTGATAAGCAGGGATCAAATATTTCCCTAAACCAAGCAGGACTGCAGATCTATTTATATACTATATTGTGTTGCAATACCCACAGTTTTATACTCCTATAAACAGTATGTTTAGAAATATTAATTTGAGGTAAAAGAGATTTTGGGGAAAGAGATAATAAACCACATTATGGAAATATATAATTTAACTCTTTGTTTTAGTGAGAGGTTCTGCCAAAATCTAACTCATTTTCTGTTTCCAAACGCAGGCAACTCTTATAGCTCTTGTTACTTTTTCTGCTGCCATCCCATCTGTTTTTCTCTCAGACTGCAATTGCTTTCTGGAAAACATAGAGCTAGGACTTATGAGAGAGATTAGCAAGTGGATGGTGTGACTGAATGCCTCTAAAATATTACAGAAAAACTGCTATATAATTACATGAAAAGACACACATTTTGTACTATTAAATTGTATGGTGTAAAGACCAAGAATGTATATTACAGTAGTAGTGCTAAGTCATTGGACATAGTCCATTTTAAAACTAAAATGCATGTTTCAAAAGTTTTACTCATATTAGTAGAGTGTAAACAATATAATTCTATTGTAAGGGTTATGTTTTATTCTTCTGAAGGTAAGATCTGACTGTATTTTTCTTTCTGTGCTTTTAACAGTAAGAATAAGATTGATAAATGCAGAGCCAGAAATATTATGCTCATTATTGCAGAAAATACACAGAAATATTACTGAATAACAATAGCTGAAAGAGTAATCCAAAGTATATTAAGAGTATAATGTTGATTCTGTATACAATTAGATGGCATCTTATGGCTGAAAACCATCCACAGCATCTTACAGATTAAGCCTTTATTCTGAAATCTATTTTCACTTGGGAAATCCCATGAGCCATCTGTGGGACTACTATAAGGAATATAAGGTCTTGTCATGTAAATATGATTGTGCCATTCATGCCCCAGGCCTAATAGCTTGATCAGTTTTATAATATAGATTATATTTATAAACAAAATCCATTAAACAGAGAGTCAAGTTAATGACCAAAAACCAATAAAGGAGAAAAAAACTCAAACTTGCCTTCAGTAATTGCCGTTTTCTTTCTTGGACTATGTTCTAGAAGAAGACGAGGTGGTACCATTTCCTTATGTCCTGCACATGAGTACACAGGTTAGGAAGCATAGAAAATGTATTCACTAACAGGCTGAGCAGATTTATTGGGAGACTGAGCTCCCTTCAGAATTGTTCATGTTTAAAGTATTACTCTGGGCATAAAAGGTACTATTTTCCAGACAACACTGGCAGGAAATGTATTTCTCAACAAATAAAGGACTTTATTTTGAAGATACATTTTAAATTCGTGAAGCCCAAGTGAATCAAACATATGCTGAAATGCTTACAGTTCTATTTTTCTTCATTAGGCTAAAAAACTCTGAAGAATAATTCTGTGATAATAAGGTTACATATTCATGATGCCTCTTCTACAGTAAAAGCTTATTTTCTTCTGTCAAACAAATGATCTTCAGTTGTTCCCTCAAGTCCACTTATTATGAACTTCTTGAAACACCAGTAAAAATTATTATGTTTCTCATCCTTAAGGATTATTCTTAATTAGCCAGTACCAACCAGGTCATGCACTGTAAACACTGATGAGGTTCTGATTCCAGCTGCTGACTGAAATACCTCTTCACTCTTAGAGCATTGAACTGTACTCTCTCGCACTGTATTGAACTAGGATTTGCTGTACTGTCTTAGCTTATGTGTAGATACCATGCTTTATCCAAAATACATTTCACTTCATTTCATCAAAGATTCACAAACAGATCTATCACACTCATACTATGCATGCTTCTTTTCTGGTTTATAACACCTGTTTTCAGTCTCATTCCCTTTTAATTTCTTTCTTTGACATTTATGTTCAGTAGCTATTATATCATTGTCATTTGCAAAACACAATTTGTTGTGACTTGTGAAATGAAATTAAGTAGTTAAATATAATATTGATTCATATGCACCAGCATTCATTCACGGCACCAGCATCCCCATGCAATGAGGCTGTTAAATCTCAGTTCCAGCTCAACATCACAAACTCAAAGCCATTCCTCATGCCCGGTGATAGACTCCAAAGAGAAATTAAGATCTTAATGAGCCTTGGAAACTGAGATATCATACTTACCTCTCTCATTTTGCAATGGTATGTGTACTCATGTGGCATGCATGAAAAAACAGCATCTTAAAGACAACAGTGGGATTTGAGCACCATGGTCTTAATGCTATTGCATCTCATTAGCATGTGTATGATTGCAGGCAAATAATTTGCAAGCGTGTAGTTTAGTTCATCCAGTAATATATATGAAATACCACACACAGAGCTGCTCAAGCTTGACTCATGTGCCTGAGCCACTGATGAAATGTTGACACATTGACAAAATCAATACATTGAAGGGTCTGTGCAACAAATGGTAAAATTCTAGTTTTACACATATTTCCTGCCTTGGCAATAAACACAAGTGGATATTTACAAATCTCATCACAGGATGACTCTAGCCTTAAAATGAACAGTAGGCAAAATTCAGGAATCCAGATGTCTAGCAACATTTTTCCAAGCATTTTATGTCTTAAAAAAGTAATCTTAAAATTGCAAACTGAGCTAATGAGATGCTGAATATCATTTGATGCCAACCAGAACAGATAAGTTTTATGCATAACTTCTATTGACATACAGAAATTTCATTGACTGAATTCCTAGTTCAGAATTAAAAGCATCCTAAAAATTAACAAAAAAATGATAAATGAACTTTTTCTTTCTGCTAGTTTTGATTAATGTCCTGAACATTGTTTTTTGTTTTGTTTTCTTTTTCTTCTGTTTTTGCCTAAACTGTATCACCTGTCCCTGGATAGAAAAAGTGACAGATTTTATAACTTACTGTTTTATGTGAAAGATGGCAAAGGGCAGTGGCTCAGGAGGTTGAGTAGATCAGTAATGAAGAAGGATAGTCAATAATTTGGACTGCAGTGTGGTACCTACTGCGTGAGGCAATGATCTAACACCTCTAGGTCAAAGTATAGGCTGGCCCCATTATCTTCCTGTTCTTTGCTGTAGCAGCAATTTTCTAATGATTGCACCAGTGTTAGTTAGTATAATGCCAGTGGCTTACCACTTACTGCTAATGACTTGTCAAGTTCTATTTTATAGTTTTACAAGTTTTAAGCAAATAATTTATTTCATGCAAATTAACCACATGATTCAATATGAGAGTGTTTTAAGCACCAAAAGCTTAAGCTTCACAGATCAAAAACTTTCCCTTAGGCCAGAGTGTTTGTTCTGAGCAGGTTCCCATCTACTCTGATAAAAGGCTTCTTTAATGTTTCCATGTGTTATTAAATGTCTCTCTATTCACTTTGAAGGGAATGCAAAGGACAGAAGCAGAATAAATATTTTATCCATTCTTTTGATGAGATATGTTAAAGGGGATATCCTAAGTCAAATTTCTTTCCCTTCCTTTTTTTCTTCCTTATAAGTTATAAAGCAGAAGTCGTTTTCTGCAGTACAGAGAATTCATAAATAGAAATGAGGAGCTGACCTCAGGTGATCAGACCATTAGGATTAGTGGTGACTACTATTTTGACTACTATTTGTCCAGTGGCCAGCTGGACACATATCCATGATGTAAATGAGAGGAAGGCAGGATATTTTCAATGATCCCAGTGGATAATCAGATTAGTCCACGAATCATGAGAAGTCATTGTCCAGATTACCACTATTATTATTGGACATACAGCTATCCTGCTGCTTTAAAAACGCAGCCACAGAGGAGCACTGAAATTTAGCGTCTGCTTATTTTTTTGCTTCTCATTTCAAATGTAGAATTTAGTTTTCTACTATGAGATAAGATGAAAATGTTCATTTGATTTGATTTTTTTTTTTAATTAGGATTTGATTTCTCCAAAAGACATAATTGCAAACACAAATGTATGCGTGTATTTCTGTGCCCAATTTGTCCATGCAGTTGTGCTACAATATTTTTATGCCTAATCTGTCTATGCAGTTGTTTTACAGATACCTCCTTCATAGATGATATTGTGAACATCTATCTGACAACAAATTACAGCCAATGGAAACCAAAATAGTGAAATGTTTTGACTTTAAGCCCATGGGAATGTGCTCACCAGGAGGGAAAGTGTCATGTTAAGGCATGAGTAGCTTCCTCTACTGCCTGAAAGGAAAGAAATATGTTGCACAGATGAATAGAAGGTTTAAGACACTAGATGGTAACATGAATACTTCATTGAAAATAAGCTACAGTCCTCAAACTCTGTGAAACTTCTGTCATCTGTGTTTATTAAATCCCTTGAGATATCATGAAGAAATTAATTCTGACTTTTTTAATGAATATTTTAGATTTTATATTACATGATAAGTAATACAAGACAAACTTTAATTACCTTACTTTTATCAATCTAGGAAGCATCTTTTTTCATGTGTCAAAAATGTCATGTCTGAGCACTGAGGAGAAACTGATTTCTTATGATAACAGCAAATCATGTGGGTTTTCTTTCTTCTCCGATCTGCCCAGTTCAATTTGTCTGCAGCGACCTTCATTGTCATAGATAAATCAAAAGGTCATGGGATAAAAGAAAACACTCCCAAAGTTACTATAAAGCATTGTTATTATTGTACAAATAAAGATATTGTAGACAGGTGAATATTCCAATTTGATATGAGGAGAAATAACGTCACCACAGAATGCAATATGTGGAATTATATATGATTCCTATGATTGTGTACTTTCTTATATCCATATACCAGTTATCTGAACAGCAGCATTCCCACAATCCAAGAGTACTAACACTTTGTTCAAGTGTCCCTCAAACAGTGCAGCAAAATGTCTTCAGATAAATCTCATTCTGTCCAGATGTGACCTCTTTCCCTAATGACATTTAAAATAATTGAAATAAAATAAGTGTGCTCTTTGTAGAGTCATTTGTTATGAAAAGTAAATTAAAATCAAATGTTTCATGAGCCTTGGAACAAGACATGGATCAGCAGAATGGGGTAACACTGCCAAATACACTTTTAGGGGATTGAAATCTTAATGGAGTTTCATCATTCTGTTCAGGCTTCCAGTTCTGACATGTAAGCTGCTTGAAGTTAAAGATGACCCTCTCTCTTGTCAGTCTCTCTTCAGACATTAGACTGTCACTATTCTGAGGAATGATTTCTCCATTTAATGCTTCTGCATAAAAACTATAAGCAAACTTTTTTTTTCTTTTTGATGTTAAGAAAGAACAGGAGAGGATCATGAGGTAAGATTGCATAACTGTTTTGAACAATGAAATGTTCATTTTGGGGAAGGAATGAATTAGGCAGGCAAGAGAGTTATGGGTAAAACGATGAATGGCTTTTTTATTTATTTATTTTTTCTGTTTTAACCTGCAGCTCAGGTCTCAATCAGAAATGTATGTAATGTATCTTAGCTGCTTAACACAGCTGAGCAGTTAAATGCTTTTAAAACAAGATATCTGTTGAGAATTCTTTCCCAGAAATTTTTACCACAAAAACCTTCCTTAGCTCAACCCGTATCTTGTGAAAGGTTTTCTAATTTTTGTGCTCAGAAGATTCAAGCCATTAAGGAGTTAAAAGGTAGGTTTTAACAGTTTTATCATTACACATTAGTAAAAAGTCACACAGCCTTTCTTGACATTAAAAGAAAATTGAATTGGAAATGGAATTGAATCGTCTCCACTTCCTCCTATTATTTATCACATGCATTTAGCAGGTAAAAATAATCCTACATGTTATGTTTAGAAATATTGAAAGACGGATCTCAAAGAACTGAATCCTAGGACAGTGAAAATGAGGGGTTATTGTGTGGAAATGATGGGTTATTAAAGTTATTCATACTAGAGCACAAAAGGACTGCAAAAGCAGCTTATAAAATGAAAAGACATACTCATCCTTCCTCTGTCTCCCCAAATAAACTTAATAAATTGGTATCATATACAGTGATACCTAACATAATTAATATGAATAACAGGAGTTGGTATAGACACATATTTTTCACAATATGAAGTATCCACAAGAAAATAATTGAAACAGAGAAAAGAAAACACTGAAATTAAATACTTCCTGCTAATAATTAAACAGAATG